TGTTGCAAATTTGAAAACCATTCCTGACAATTGAAGATCTTTCATCTGGTTAATTAATATGTAACTCATGTTTGATAACTCACGAATTGATAATAGTATGCTACATATTTATTCTAGTACAAATTATTATAAAATTTTATAATCAATTTTGTGTGCAATCAAATTCTTAGCAAACATGCCTCAAAATATTTTGCAAAGAGAGCTTCCTATAGTGTGTTATGCTTTGTACACTTTATATGATTGTTAATATCTGTAACCCAATTCGGAAAGTTCATATTAACACATTTAAATGAACAGAGTAGGTGTAGAACAATTTATTAAAAATAAATTAGGAGTTTACTCCAATAATTTACTTTTAATTACTACAAATTTGGACTGATCTGATATCAAATGATAAAGTAGAATCTTACAGTAAGTACTATCAGCTTACCTCAAGTGAATGCGAACACTGACAGATTTTAATCATCCTGATTTATAAACCAGATTATCGTAAAATATCAATAAAAACTAAAAAGAATAAAAAGCATACAGCGGCTAAAGTGACTCCGGATGTCCAATGCAACACACTGATAGAATGTACAAATTAATCTGCCATTTAAGGCCTACTATACACAATACGGTACGGTTCTTACGAGGTGTAAAATCCAGGCAAGAGATAGCATTTACTGCCAACAGCTTTTCAGATGAAAAATTTTGTACAAAAAAAGCAATTTCAAGCGTAGAAAACAATCAATACAATGTACAGTTATCGCTAAGCTATATATCCAATGCTTTAGAATAATCCGAAATTGAAACAAGCGTGCATTCTCACATGACCCAAGTGAAACATACACTTAAAACACTGCTTTGATCATGTCTGTTTGATGTCTTGTTCACAAGTTACGATGAAAAAAAAATCCCACGTAATTAAGTTAAGATAGGAAGGAGGTGACCAAAGGTGACAGTGACAACTGGAGACCAGCATTTACCACAGTTTCAGAAGCAAGGGTATCATCACGTTGATCCGATTCATTTTTTCGGTATCCTAACACCGAGTCTCGCATCCTCTGATTGGATGACGCGAGGAAGTACAGATTTCCTATGCTGCCACAAGCCAAAATGTTAGCAGAACAAATACATGAAACAAAGCACGTGGTGTGAATTAAAGCGGTTTATCCAATCAAAGCGTATACTGTAGTTCTGGTCCAAAATGGCAAAATTTCAAAATATCTATAACGTAGCAAACAATAGAGAGTAAGTAATGTATGTTTGTTTTTGCAGATTAACTGTCAAAAGAAAAAAATCATTGCTTTGTATCTCTTCCTGCAGGTTTTGTACCTAGAAATGTTCTAATGTACACTAAAAAGCTCCATGGTAACGGAACCCATTGACAATTTAAAAATACTGTAAATATATTCATGCAGGTTAAGTTGAATCAAAGCAACTGTAAGAAGTCTGACTAGTGGTTTCGTTGGAACGTAATCTTATTTCAAAAAGTAGTACCACGAAGGGGTGTATCATTCAAAAGACGAGTTTCAGACTCTATTCAAATTCAAATATGGTGCCCCCTATCTCATAGTAGTACTTTTTTCAGCGTTGCATTGTCTGCATACAAAATGAGGGCAGTCAGAGTTCTTGCAATTCTTTACTTTTTGGTTGAACAACAAAGAGCCATTAAAACTAAATTTAAAGTTGATAGATAGAATAATGAATCATTGCTTTGTATCTATCTTTGCAGATGCTACTCATTAACATCTAATTAGCATATCAGCTCAGGTGTTCTACCAGTATAATTGTAGCAGTTGTGGTAGTAATAACTTCGCAGTGAATCATACAAATCTTTAACAAGAGGAAAATCTTTATCTAATCTACTTAGCGAGTCTGCTAACTAGCTTAATTCATCTTTATCAGATTATAAGCGAGTTACTAATATTAATAATTTGTAAGGAATACAGTATTGATCTGCTATTAGGAATAGTACAATCCTCTTGATAATAATGACGTACACTAGCTCTTGCTAGCCACCCCCCATAGTGCCGCTACTATGTGACAGTGATGATGATGATAGTGCTGATGATAATGATGATCAATAAAACTTAAGAGTGGTATCGCCGATAATGTTCGATAATAATGACAATAAGGATGATGATGAAGTTTTTGATGGCAATGTGAAACAAATTTCTTTTAAAAAAGAATGAGGACACATTTTTGCGCAGCTGCTTGTGCTTGGCGCCGACTATTCCATTTGTTATTTGAGGAGTGTCCTCTTTTGGGAAAGAATAGGTAATTATTTGGTTTATCTCAGTAAGTATTGAAGAAGCAGACTTATTATTATTTTATGATAACTATTTGAGTGTTAATGGAAAATTCATCTCATTTATTGGTAAATGTCGAAATCCAGTAAATCCCGACTGTATATCATAAGCCAGCTACTAATAAGCTGAATCAATTCGTGGCTGATAGTACCGTACAGTATGCTTAGCTATTCATTTTAGAGGCATTCTCAGATGTTCCAGAGATCATGCCCATTTTTGGTAGTTGAATAATTATTAAAAAATTTCAAATAGGCCAGCATTTGCCCCTTGCAATGAATTCCTGTATTATTCACAACTAGTTGCACAAAATTTCAATCATAAATTATGACAGTGTACTTTAAATAGAAAGTGAACATTAAGACTTAAAGTAGGAGTCTTTTTGGCGTGAATCACACCAAGGATCCTGCTAAGTGGGGTCCTTCTGGTGGTGAATTGGGCAGTACACTGGAAGACAAACCCCCTGCTCATTTCCGAAGAGCGTACTGCATTCTTTAACATGCACATGGGACCAACGGCTTAAACGTCTCATCCGAAAGACAGTGCGCTATTGTAACTTGTAATTGATCCCTCCAGCTGAAACTCAAGGAAAGCAGTGATGGGAATTGAACCGGGGACCTAGAGATCTCCACGGACATTAAAATGGATTCTTACTAGAGAGCAAAACTCTACAGAACTTTCCTCGCTACTGTACGCTATACAAAATAAAGTATATAAAGATTTTACATACACTATATAAAATTGTAGGCCAAAATTTGAGAATGTAGCAAATGTGATAAGGGACAATGACGTTTTTTGGATGCCAGAATTATGTCAAATTTGCCACAATTCGTTGATCACATCACGAACTAACACAATTAAATTCAATTGTGTTAGTTCGTGAAATAAAAAAAGCGTGTCAAAATACGCGCTGTTGTCGTTAAGGACTTTTTGTGTGGTAAAGAATACAAAATTGCTTGACAACCAATACGCGGTCGTTTTGACGCCTTACTGTGATTTCACGAACTAACACAATCTACTTTGATTGTGTTAGTTCATGATGTGAGCGACGAATTATTTAATTTTCAGCGGAATAATTACCACCGCCAAAATTTTTCGCTACTTAAGAGCAAATAGCTGTTAAAATGTGTTTGAATGTAGTTGAGTACAAATTTAAAAATTCTGGGACAAAAAATGTGTGATGTAATTTTCCATGAAAAATAACATTACTGAGCTCTATGCTGCTCTCACAAGTAATAATTAATGAAAAATGTACGTTTGAATAAAATAAAATTTTATATCAGTGGGACAATAAAGCTTTCAAAATGTCATCTTAACAGCCAATTATGCGAACAGATGCTTTACTTTGCTTTGATAATGTCACAATATTACAATTATCAGTATAACCACGGCTTAATTCAGCTTTCAAATTGTCATGTACTGTCATCAGTATGAAGAGGGGGCTTTCTTTCAAAAGGTCATATAGTAAAAGCTTAATCACTTCAGTAATAATACGTGTACACTACTTTATTATTACCATACTTTCAATTAAAAAAATGCATTATTTGGTTAAACAGAATTTATTGTAGTTCTGAGACTTTGGAATACACTGCCTAAATCGATTTGAGAGGCTTGCATCAATTTCCATTTTTAAAAAATAAACTGAAAACTCACCTGTTTAAATCTCTGTTGTGTCTCATGTTCTAGTGTATCCATAGTCCCTGCCCCGAAACCGAGACTCAGAAATACGGCGGGGGATATTTAAGTTCAGTTAAGCTTTAGCTAAGTGTGGTTAAGTGTAGCTAAGGTTGTCCTGGGTACAACTTTAAACTGCATCCGGTCGAGCCGCCGGCGACTAATTTGACAACCCCATTTTTGCGGTCTTCAGCGGGCCACTGAAATGGGAGGGTGTCATGGTCACCCTGCAGGAAAAACAGCTGAACAGAAGGCGGATGAACTCTCAGGAGTCCAGGGCCAACCATACTCAGTTTAATGAGTAGGCAATAAAGCTCAAAACAAATGTTAAACGCATAGAGGCTTTATGCATTATGCGCTCTATAAATCCATATTTATTATTATTATTATTAACAATAATAATAATAATAATAATAATAATAATAATAATAATAATAATTATTATTATTATTGTGAATATTCTTACATTTTGAGATCATCTGGTTTGGCACTACATTTTTGAGGTCATAACCTGTCAGGCATGACAAACCGTACTGTACCAACCAACCATGCTTTGAAAAAAATACTACAATTCACTTAAAACATTGTTTTAAGGCACTTTATAAAATATTTTTAATATAGTCTGATTAATGGCACTTTCAGGTACTGTACAGTATCTAGATTTTACCAATTAAGTACTGCACCAAATACTACAACTGTATAGTAAAGTTAGTTCAGTATTGTGTTTAAAAGAGTTTGTTCTATGTAAAATTAACGCCCTGTGCTATGCAGGCTTTTCATAGGCCTACTTAAGTACACTTCATGGGTCCTGGAAACTGGACGAGTAAACTTCTGGGAGATCTGGTTAAATGAGCCTTCTTAACGCATCTACTGTAATTTCACTTTTTCTGATGATACTCATCGTCATTGATTTCTGTGAGACAACTGATAAAGTAGTAAAAACAGTATACTTGGGACTCGTGAAATTTGGTTGAACTGACCTGGTAAAGTACATAATGACTATTGAAAACATTGTATGGACCTGTAGGTAAATTAACAAAATTCTTGGAATCACCTCTTGCATAATTATTCAGTGCTATCCTGAAACAGTGGTTAAAAAAAAAAAAGCAAAAAAAGAAAAAAAAAAGCGTTTTTATGTGAATCAAACGCTATTCATTTTTGTATGATTGTTAAAAATACAGTAAATGCTAAGTAAGACCATATACCTGTACAGTAAGTTATAATGAACACCTTCTACTAACAGGAAAGATAGTATCTTCATAATATTAATAATTTCTGCTACGAGAGTACAGTAATTAGGGTCAAGTGATATACATTACTATTGAAATGTAAACATTCCAATTAGCCTGGTACCAGTGTTCATCTTTGTGGTAAATTCACTGTCAGTTTGAAGCCGCCGGGTAAACTTCAAATACCCCCTCATTATTAACCAGTCAACCGTGACAAAAAACAACTGTTGCTGCATTAAGGACGAACCCAATTCCGAATGCATGGGTGAAATTTAAAGGAGTTAGCGTAAATAATCAGAAGATATTTTCCAATCTGATGGGCAATATGAAATGGTTGTTATCTATTCGAGAGCATCTATGATAGAAAGCATTACAAAACTGACCCATATGTGACTAATTAACAAAATATGATCCACAAATATTTCATCATCTATACAGTATTATTGAAGGCTGATAACTATGTTGAGAAAGAGGCTTATCAGCAGAGCCTATTATTATTATTATTACACTTAATAAAAACCAAAGGATCCACTGATTATTCGCAAATAGAATAGGAGTTTGGTTGACTCGTAAGAATGAAATTGTGAGGCCATAATTGATTCTACATTTCGTTCTTTATTAGAAAATTGTCAAGAAAGAATATAATCCATTAAGACAAAACTTAACTCTCAAAAATCAAAAACAAAAGATATATTCTGACCAATCAGACAAAGATATGCAGATTTATAGGAGACAACATGGGCTGCTGATAAACAAAATGATTATAGATTTTTGGAGGATGACTATGCAATCTAAGTAACACTGCACTGGAATAAACACCTAATTAGCTAATATTCATTTTAATTATTACTTGTTATTTGTTTATTACTACTATTCTTATATGAAGATTATTATTTGTCAAATATTTTGTATTTATAAATAAGCATCTATGGATGTTTACAATTTGCAAATTATTACGATGTCATTTCTCCTATTACTATTACTCAAGTATGTACTAAAATTGTTTATTTCAAATTCTTAAACATATCATGTTTTGAAAAATTATGCCTTGAATAATTAATTGCTTTTATTTTCTGCTTAGGAAAAGATTGCTTGTTAAAATGTGAATAACAGTAATGTATCCTCATGATGCTATAAATCCTTCTTAATTTGAATACATTACATTCTTTCTAGATCTTCTTACTGTACTTTCCTCTTTTGCTTAAGCAATTTAGATGTTCTCTCGTACTATTAATTTATTTGACTCAAAAGATAGTAAATTATGTGCAATTAGTAAAAATACCACAAATGCCTTTTTCTAAGTGTATTTAATACAAGGTACTTCAATGGAAAATTTATTTCAACCTTTCCAGTTGCTGATGTGATAATATGGAATCCATTAATTATTATTTTTGGTGAAAGTTTAATAATTTTAAATTAGATATTATTTGGTAAATTCTGTATTTAAATAATTCTCTGTATCTCATTCCATTAATATTTTGCCTTTTATATATTGTATGAAGTGACCAATAAACCTTATGTTGTATCAGCGGGAAATTATTTATCATAAGCAATTTCCTTTGAAATATCTACTCTCCATCTCTATAAAAAAACATCTTACCCAATTCAAAAATATCATTTTTATTCCATACTTGACTAGCAGTTTTGAATAATAAAATTTGTAATCTTCGTTTTTACAATGTTTTTAATAGTTAGCATTAACAAAAGAACAACTTCTTTTAAACCAAGTTGTGGGGTTTTCATTTTGCTTTATTTTATTTTTACTTGCATTATGTCAGTTCATATCTTTGTATTGTTCAAATTACTGTACCATATTGATCAGGTCCTCTAAGCAAATTGGGTCATCACCCTCATAAACTGTGTTGAAAATATTAATCTTAATCCAACAACTTGAATGGATTAAAAGAGATAAAATACCATAGTCACATACTAAAAAATTACATTAGCAAAACATATTAAACAGCAATAAATATTTCAATATGGTCAGAGAAAATAATAAAAGATTTTTTTTCTATTTCTTACAATGACTCACCACCTACAAGACAAAAAAATGTGTGTTTCTCAATGATAGTGACTTCTGCTCTAAGTCTAAAGGACCTCGGATTAGAAGACAGAGCTCTTTAACCACAAATTTACAGCTTTTTATTATTTATTTATAACATTTTGGATAAAGAAAAATAAAACAAAAAATCCTCCAAGGGATCTCCAAGGTAGAAAAGAACATGATCAAAAAACAAGAACTGAATTTAACAAAAAACACAAACAGGGTTAAAACAACATTATTAGGCCTATACATAGTAAAATACATAAAAACAAAAGTACACTGTAATAAATATTTAAAAAAAAATGTTTAATAATTAAAAAAAAAAAAAAAATTTTGTTTAAAAATTAAAAAAAAAAAAAAAATTTTTGTTTTAAATAATATAATACATACAATAATTTTTATAGGCATATATTCAATTATCTATTTACAAATCATTCAATTTTTAATTTCAACTACCTGTACAAAAAAAAAATTATACTTGCAATTTATTTAATAGATCTTTTCAATGAACTTACTGTTATGACATAATGCTAATAAAAACCCCAACAGTTTCAATAACACTAACAATAATGCTAATAATAATAATAATAATAATAATAATAATAATAATAATAATAATAATAGGATAAAATAAAAGAGCAATACGTCTTACAGAAATAATGTTCAGTTAGGTTCAAGACAAAATGATGAAATTTACACTTGATACTCACCAAACGCTGATAAGCCATCTCTAGTAATCAATATAATTTCCAAGATGTCAAAAAAGAAAACACGAAATGTACAGTACGTGATTGGTAATCTTGAATATTTTTTAGCTCAATTCTGGGGCTGCATCATGTCTATAAATATAGAGAGATGAATGAATAATTATGATTTAGAATCACATTGACCGTTTGCATTAAGGAAAAGTTGCTTTTCACAGTGCCACTGTGCCCGACGGTCGCCGGCCGAAGCAATTCCATGAAGAATGCAACGCGATGAAATTGAGAAGTGCATGCAATAATTTATAATGACAATCAGCTCAGTCTGCCATTGTCAATCAACAGACGGTGTTGCATCGTCAAGCGCTCGCAGACAGCAGAGTTTGATTCATTTGCTGCCGGTCGTACGTCCCTCTAACGACAGTGTGTGCAAGGCTTTGGACTAATGTAAAAAATAGGAAGATGTATAAATATTAAATACAGTATCAAGGGTCGTCGTCGAGTATACCAGGTACTGTACAATAATAAACTTCGGCAAAAGTAACACACTCCCTGATCATGCACCGTCTACCATTTAATACTGAGGGGCCTCTATTTCCTCTTCATTTTACCATTTTGTACCATTTGAATTTACGTTAACTACTGTAATTATTATGGCTTGAGTATCTAGGTAGGCCTTAATTCATTACAGACGTCACGATATCAATGTCATGTTTGTAAGGTAAAAATCACAGCGGAACCCTCAAGCACGAAGTTCTTTCTACACTCTGTGACTGAGTGACAGGCTCTATCTTTACCTCTTCAACCATGCATGGAACATTCTTTAATTTTAAAAACAATGGATGCGCTATTTCCAGATTCCAGTGTATGAATAGTTTGCATACAATTCGATTGTACCAAAAACTTTACATAAATCATCTAACTTACCTTTCTAAAAGTGTAAACAAGTAAAGTATACCGCGGAAAACTTGTGAAGCATCATAAACAACATCTAACTTCCTTACGTCATGGAGAAAGATGTTGGGCAGCTCCTCTTGAATTCCCGGTTCACTTTTTTTCACGACGGACGTCATGTGCACAAAGAGGGCGGTATAAGAGTTTTACCAGCCAATTTTTTTTTAAAGAATCGTCTATTATAGATTGTCGTTCCTCAGGGGCAGTGCCGGCTCTAGGATAATCTATGGGATGGGGGAGGGGATTTTTCATAGACACCAGAAATGTTGGAGAATCATCGTTCATGCAGCAGGTGTGCGGTGGTACTTCCCAGATCGATTTTTTTTTTTTAAATTGGCTAGATGGCCGGAAATGGCTGGGATGGGAAAACTAGGCCTATTTTTTTTTTTGATCCAACTGCCCGACGAGCTTTAGTCGATAGGGGGTTTGACCAGACCGATCGGGTTTGACCAGACCGATGGGGGGGGGGGGAACACCCCTCCCCGCTGGCGCCGCCAATGCTCAGGCGATGACTTAGAGGTATGCTAATCAGGCTTTAGCTGCCACCCCCAACCCACTATTTTACTAGCCCTGTTTTTCTTATCACTGTTAAAATAGCTTTTAATAAGGCATTGAAAATAGTTTATACCGAGTACCACCGCACACCTGCTGCATGAGCGATGATTCTCCAACATTTCTGGTGTATATGAAACGAAGACCGAATACCCCAAAAACGAAGACCTATATTTTATTTTGTTTTAATGATAATACACCAGGCTCTGTCAAAATCAAAATTACGAGATTATTTGTACGGCTGTTTGTGAAATTGTCAAGGGTTTTCGTTACACTCTATGGGTTTACAGTAACGAAGATTTCTATTTTTTTTTTAATTACCATTTTGAAAATGTTTCGAAATCGTCATTAAACTATTGTCCAAAGTTTAAAGTAATTTAATTATCAATAATACAACAAGTAAAATTGAAATTTGATTTCCTCGGATACACAAAAACAGTAAAAAATATCAACAGTAAGATTCTATTCTAAATAATAAAGTTCCAGAGAATGACAACTAAAAAAAAAAATAAAAAAAATAAAAAAATAACATAAAATAAAAATAATAATAATAAAAATAAAAACCTTAATACAAAAAAAATTTATAAAATTGCAGTTTAAATATCATTATATCAATTTATTTCTTAACTTTATAAAATATATACAGAATATTCCAAAGTAAGTTTAAAAAAGATTAGAAAAATTTCAGGTAAAATAAAGTCTCATATCCATCAGCTCAGTATAATTCTTAATTTAGTATACATAATATAATACAAAAATAGTTATAAAATAAAAGTACAATGTTTAAGATTAAATGGATAGAACAAAGGATTGTTTTTTTTTTTTTTTTTTTTTTGGAGGACGGAGTGTGGGTGAGGATAATTAAACGAAAATGGTCCCGATTAGCACAGTCAAGTAAGCGTTACATTTACATTACTTGAATTGATAATTTCAGCATAGGTTCTCATTTACGTACAGCAATGAGGAAAAGGTCTATTTATATATTAATTTTTGTTTTGGTTACTGTATATTGTTTTTAGTACAGATGACTGACTTTGGAATTTCCCATGCCATGTGGTGACACGTAGCGTAATTTCCCGATCATTGTTGAAAAATTGAAAGGAGGTGTTTTAGAAAGGTAAGTTTTGAAAATATAAAGGTAGGATTTCTCTTAAAGTTACACATTGTAACGACGAATTGCTAATAAACGATCTGGCGCTAAATCCACTTTAGTAGGCCTACTTTACCCGACATGCCATGGAATAAAGTTAATATGAAGGTTAGGGTTAGTGCAGTGTACTATAGTAAATTTAATATAGTAAATTGCATTGAGGGCCAAAATCTTTCCAGTATATACATAAACTATAATACTTTATGCAATTTTGAAATATCTAGCCTAGCCCTAATTGTTTTTCACAGCTTATCATTTCAACTTCATCAGTGACTCTTTGAACGTTGCTACTAAGCCAGAACTTTGATAATGTGGTTGGGCAGATTATTTTGGTAAGAGATACTTTGAAGAACCCGAAAGTAGAATATAAAATGTATGATACTCTTAAATTTCTGTTTGTAGTACTTCTATGCTGATAATCAGGCGCGGATTCAGTAGCCGCCCCTGATAAGGCCAAAAAAATATGTTTGTTTGCCCTCCTCCACCCGCCCAAAACTCACTGAAAAAATAGGGGCGGAAAAACAAAAACTTAAAAAAAAAATTTGTTTGAGCTCTTTTCTTTACAAATAAAAAAAAAAATGAGTGAATTACCTTTTTTTTGTCAGATGCCCTACAAATTAGTCTAAAGTTGTCTGATGTAAGATATTGCCATTCTATAGTCATCTCTTTGGGTTATTTTTATTCCATCTGATGAGTATTAAAAAAAAAAAAATTATAAAAAAACTTTTTCCATCCGCCCCTATCTATCATTTTTGAAAAAAGAAGGGCAAACAAATAATTTATTTTGTTGGCCTAATGTATGTACTTATAATACATTATAAGTAATAATTATAGACATGATGATGATTATGATGGCGCATTATAATAGATGCAGCGGTGCCTGGGTGGGACAGCGGGTATATTGTTTTCCTAGAATGCTGGTTATATAGGGCAAAACGGTTAGTTTTATCCTGGGTTCCAGGAGTTAATTGGGTTAAGATAGTATAATACATACTCCAAGTATCGAAATGCATGCCATCGTGTCAGGATTTAATATTTCGATATTAATTATGTCATCATCAGGATAATACGGTACTTAATGAATTCTATGAAATATAATCTTTTTATTGCACTTAGTACGCGCCATACCAAATTTAGCTGGCGTCCCATACATTATTTCTATTTTTGTCTAAATTAATTTAGTCGTTGGTGGCGCTGGTTAGAATAAGAAAAGAAGTAGTATGTAAGGATGGCAAGTCTATCAGTTTGAACGTAGATGATTAGACCTCTTATTTTTATGACGATTGATTCACTGGTTAGGCCTATGATTGAGAAACCGATGTAATAAATGATTATTAGCCTATACTCAGTAGTTGATCATTCACAAATTCAAACTCAAAACCAATAACAAAACAAAACTTTTATTGGGTAAATTAGCCCACATAGTAAAATACATGAATTAAATAAAGAAAAATATCCTTTCTAGTCCCTGGCTTCTATTTTGAATTCCTTGATCCACCACTTCATTTTAAGAAATACACTTATTGTATTAAATTGATTATATGTATTACGTTTATTAAAATAAAATGGATATTACGACGATGACCAATCAAGATGGGGGGGGGGGAGAAGAGGGAAATGGTCATAACGGTTGTGATGATGAGAAAGGTCACGATAACGGTGGTGATGATAATGGTTTCAATTGTGGTGACATGATGGAAATGATGATGATTTTGATAAAAATGTTTGGGTTTGGGTAATATTGATAATGGTAACTGTGATAGGCCTATTGTACAAAAGTTGTGAAGATTATTAAAGTAGGTATAACTTGTTGATGATTATGAATTGCTGAAAACCATTTAGGCCTATTGCTTACAAAATTGACATTTTTATGAAGATAGGAGCCAAATGAACTTATTTGAATTTGTTTACCTTTACTTTTTATCTAGGCAAGTTTGGCCTAACTATACCGGTAGATATCCAAGTACCTGGGATAGGCCTATGTACGAAGCACCATCATCACACCGACTTGTAGAAGTATCAAAATATCAACACCAGGATGAATATGAGAAAATACAGAAATTGTTCAGCAAGACACTTCCAGAAGGAAATATCACAAAACTCGAACGGGTTCAAAATTATAAATGTTGGGATACATATGCACGGTAAAATTGTTTTTATTTAAAATGACAATCGCAGCAGGAATGCGTTTAGAAACTACTTTATCATCCTTTAATGCGTATTTAAGTTACTCATAATTTTTATTGCAAATCGGAGTGTTTCTTCCATTTTATCACTTTTAATTTAAAGTTGACACATACTAAAAGCCCCTTTGATAGTTTTGCCAAGGTCCAACAAAACAATAACGTGCGTAAATGTACATAAACATGTGCGTTTTTGTAATAATAATTGGTAATAACGATATATTTTTTCATTTCAAAAAAGGCAAAAAGAAGTCATGATTAATAATAATGGCTTTAATAAAGAGCTTCAACTTTTCCATGGCACCACAGAAGAAAGTGTTGACGACATTTGCCGCGAAAATTTTGATTTCCGTCTGAGTGGAACGCGAATTGGTGTTGCTTATGGTCAAGGTGCATATTTCGCACGAAAAGCCAGTTATTCTGATCGGTACGCAGAAGCCGATGCAGACAACATAAAACAAATGTTTGTAGCACGAGTTCTTGTTGGTAGGTACATCCTTGGAACAGAGGACATGCGAAGACCGCCGTATGTAGATCAATCGGATAAAACAAAAGGAATGTATGATTCTTGCGTCGACAACGCAAGTAAACCAAATATCTTTGTGATATTTGATAACCAGCAAATATATCCAGAATATCTAATCACATATTCCATACAACAATTTTATGGAAGTGGTGCCTATCAAACTGTGTATAGTAATACTAACCAGCAATGGTCAAACCCTAATAGTGCCCAATCACCCCATAATAGTGGCAACCACCAGGCATCAAATCAGTTTAACACATTACCTTTTAGGAAATTTTTAAGAAGTGTGGTTGGTGCCTATCAAACTGTGTATAGTAATACCAACCAGCAATGGTCAAACCCTAATAGTACCCAATCACCCCATAGTAGTGTCAACCAATTTCAAAATTTTTGGACTTCGATAAAGTCAATAAAAAATACACTTAAACCCATTTATAATAAGTATAATAATATTTCCACACACTTACAAATATTCACATTATTATTCATCATATCACTTTCAGTATTATTATTTTATACTTCATCTTCTACTGTTGTTGCATATCTATTATTTTGCTTATTGACATCGACCGTGATTTATATAAAGGAGATAAATGTCAGGTCATTGCCTAGGAGTATGATAATACTAATACTATCATTTTTTTTATTATTATCATTAGTATTACAATTATTTACGTATGGGTTACAAATAATCTTGTCATTTTCTTTTAATTATTTTTCTATGTATATACTGATTTCCATGTTTATATCCGCCATGATCTATGCAAATGAAATGAAAATTGATGTCAAGTTTGCTTATAAGCGGTTATTATTATCAGAATTATTAATAGTATTATTTTTATCAGTAATCCAGTCATTTCTACATTTATTAATACTATTAACTTCATATTGTTACAATAATTTTGGTATATTGTATCTTATGATTTCCATGGTGATATTTACCATTTTATATACAAACCAGAATATGGCTGGCGAATATAAATATAAATGTGGTTTAATATCAGAATTAGTCATGCTACTAATGTTACCAGCTTTACCATTATTTCTTTATGTATTACATATATTATTATTGTGTTGCAATAATAAGAATGTTATATGTATTGGCTTAATGGTTTTAATGATTATACTTGCCGCTTTCTATCAAGACAAGATGAAAATAATGGACGGGCATGTGTTTACGTGGGTATTAATATCAGAATTAATAATAATTTTATTGTTACCAGTATTGCAATTAATTCTGTATTTGTTACAGATATTATTATTTTTTTTTGTTTTTATATTTCTACTGGTTTCCATTTTGATACCCACCATGATCTTAAATCTAGTATGCATGTAGTAAAGTGTATATTATTGTTATTAATTGGACAGTTATAACGCACCTAGATAGATCCTTATCATTTGATTGGTGTATTTTGTATCACGTGATATTGGTTGGTTCCATCCTTGAATTTTTGTTCTATTAATTTTGTCCCATTGCACGCACTCTGCAACCTTCTCATTTTCTGGACGATGGGCTGTTCTATTCAGAAAAAAGGTAGACTTAACTAAAATTGCAATAGACTTATGTATCTTGTCTTTTTTCTATATTTATACTAATATATTCCTTTGCCATTTGTGTCTTTTGAATATGTTTGTAGTTAAACTTTTAAATACAGTGGTTTTAGGTTTCATCGTTTGTATTGCAATGTCGTGATTTATGTGCCGTAATTTAAGATCTTAGTTGTATTAATGTCTCTGTTAAAGCATCCGAAAACCAAATTTCATCTGCACCAAGTTGTGCACGTTGAGGAAAAAATGTATCTTGTAACATACTCTATTTTTTTTCATAAAATATCAAATGACAATGATCTATTGTGTTATAAAACGAATAATGAATGTTTTTTTTTATTCGTGCAATCTTTCAATTCAAGTTTAAAGATTGACTGTGTACAATTCAATTCGGCCCCGCCTCATTGCTTGAAACAGTCAAACTTTCAACTCATAAAAAATATTCTTCGCATTGCACTCATAAACATTCATTATTTGTATAATATTTAGCCAGTATAACGCCTATTTGTTAACACTCAATATTTTTGTGATGATTAACGCACTCTCCAATCCCAACCTTAAGGAGAGGCAAATTCAAGTTTTAATCGCCAAAACTTGGGTTCGAGTTCAGATAGCAAGAATAGTCCAATTAATTCGCAATAAGTACGGAAATAGCATAGGACTATATAGAGATGATGGGCTTGCGGCGTTCAATGGAACACCACGGGAAATCGAACAAATAAAAAAGGACCTTTGCAGTGTTTTTAAGAAACACAACCTGAAAATAACCATCGATTATCAACTACCTTGATGTAACGCTCAACCTCAACGACGGAACATACAGACCGTACTTAAAAGACAAAAACAAGCCGCCATATGTACACTCCAAGAGCAACCACCCACCTTCCATATTAAAAAACATACCGGAGGGTATTAACAAGAGACTATCAGAAATATCATCCAACGAGACAGCCTTTAACGACACTAAAAAAACACTAAAATAACCTACCAAGAAGCTCTTAATGAAAGCGGGTTTGAATATGAACTAAAATATAACCCTTCTATTAACACTCACACTAACAAGAAGAAAAGAAAAAGGAACGTTATTTGGTTTAATCCACCCTACAGTAAAATGTAATGTAAAAACTAGAATTGGCCACGTATTCCTTAGAATTATAGATGATTGTTTTCCACATAATCATGTATTAAGAAAGATTTTTAATAGGAACACTGTTAAGATAAGTTATAGCTGCATGCCTAATATAGGATCTATAATCTCTGCCCATAATAAAACCATACTAAAAAATGACAAGGCAGAAGACAACTGCAAGCTATGCAATTGCCGAAACCATAATGAATGCCCAATATTTGGGAAATGTCTAAGTAGCAGTAGGGACGACAATAATGAAGTTGAAACATACATTGGTCTTACGGAAAATACATTGAAAAGTAGATACAACGGGCATACATGCTCATTCCGTAATGATAAATACAAGAATAACACTACACT